ATACATTTAGGGTAGTAAATATTACATTTTGAATCCGTATCAATGATACATTTACTCAAAATGTTCCTTCCAATGGATCACCATTTAACTTGAAAACAAGGGAAGCAGCCGATCGAAGAAAAAAAGATTTTAAAAAACAAGTTTCAATATGATAGTAGTGGTTCGGTCATGCATTTACATATGTGGGTGTCATCCTTTCTTTGAAAGTAATGATTGTGCCAGATTTGAACAAAGTCCATCTAGATTCGCGGCCTGTAGGTAAAGTGTTGACAGATAAAACGTAAAAAAAAACCAGACCTATAAAAATATATTTTCTAAAACTATTTTAATTTTGAAATTATATTATTTTCACATGTGCTAAGTGTTTTAGTGAATAGTTATAGAAAGGGTCTTGTAGATTAAGACTATAGCGCATGTGCACTGTGCAGTTTTAAACTTCCGAGACGACAAGTCGACAAGTCGATGATACGACAGTTTCGCTTTTTGTCGTGCCGTCGTATCATCGACTTGTCGTGGCGATAAGTCGATGATACGACGGCACGACAAAATCGGGTCGATGACACGACAAAATCACGCGATCTTACGACAGTTTGTTCTGTCGTAAGATCGCGTGATTTTGTCGTAAGATCGTGTGATTTTGTCGTGTCGTCGTATCATCGACTTATCGCCACGACAAGTCGATGATACGACGGCACGACAAAATCACACGATCTTACGATAAAATCGGGCGATCTTACGACAGAACAAACTGTCGTAAGATCGTCTGATTTTGTCGTATCATCGACCTTATTTTGTCGTGCTGTCGTATCATCGACTTATCGCCACGACAAGTCGATGATACGACGGTACGACAAAACACTAAACTGTCGTATCATCGACTTGTCGACTTGTCGTCTCGGAAGTTTAAAACTGCACATGCGCTATAGTCTTTATCTACAAGACCCTTCTATAAATATTCGCTAAAACACTTAGCACATGTGAAAACAATATAATTTCAAAGTTAAAAGAGTTTAAGAAAATATATTTTTATAGGTCTGGGGTTTTTGGTTTTTTTGTTTTTTTTTACATTTGATCTGTCAACACTCTACCTACAGGCCGCGAATCTAGATGGAATTTGTTCAAATTTGGCACAATCATTACTTTCAAAGAAAGGATGGCACTCTCGGAGGTAAATGCATGACCGAAGCACTACTGTCACAACTTATAATTGAAACCTGTTTTTTTTTTTAAAAAAATATGTTTTCTTCGATCGACTGTTTCCCTTGTTTCAAGTTAAATGATGATCTATTGGAAAGAACGTATTGAGTAAATCTACGCTATCACTAAGACGGATTCAATATGTAATATTTCTCATTACTACCTATGTTGTTTAATCAATGCTATACATGTTATTTTTCAGTCGTATCAAACATCATTGATATCATTTTATTGATTCTGAAATTATTTGTAAAACAAAATAAGAGACGTGGGGGGGGGGGGCGTATGAGGCTTTCATAGTGTGTAATCATCTAGGCCTCGATCCATTGTTTTTGGTGCTTGATATTTTGCGGGGGAGTCGCAGTGTCTAGGCAGGTAAGACGTTGGTTCGGTAACCCGAAAGCTGGGTGTTCGATCCCTTCATTGGACGAGAAAGTTCATCCAGATTTTCCGACGAGGTCTTGTCAGTTGTGCTGGACAGAGGGCCTGGCACGTAAAATATCCCTTGGTAGTTGGAATTCGATATAATGGTAGGCCATAGTGCGCTGTCCTGGCAAAATTTCGCTCATAGTATGGCGTATGCCCGTCTTCAATATGACAGTACTGGTTCGGTCATGTATTTACACCCGAGAGTATCATCCTTTCAGAGGATCGCGTGGCTACGTGGGCAAGACGCTGGCTAGCTAGCCTGGAGGTCGGGTGTTCGATCCCACACTGATCAGAAGTGAATATTCGCTAGGCCTCTGATAAGAATGACATCGATGCGACTTAATGAGTCCCCAATATTAACATTATTCCTCCGACAAATTTAATTCTAAAAAATTTTTTTTTATGTATTAGAAAAATAAATAAAGACATTTGAAGTATTTGTAGGTAAAAAATATTTCCTATGTAGCGTAAATGGGTATTAAAATGAGTAAAAGGCATCATTCTACCCGAAGCAGTTACGTCTTATATAAACAATGCACGCGCCATTGGTCCAATGATTGACACCGCGTGACGTGATTGCATGTGTTGAAAACAGTCATCTTTTACAGAGATATTAGACGACTTTTTTCACAGATTGGTTCGATCCCTGCATTGGCCGACAAAATTCATCAAGATTTACCGGCGTGGTTCCCCCTTGTCAGTGATGCGGGACGGAGGGCCTGACAATGACAGCTGTCTAGTCGTTCGGATGGGACGAAACACCGAGGTCCCGTGTACACATTGGCAGTTGGATTTCGATATAAGAGCGGGCCGTAGCGCCGCTTCCCGGGCAAAATTCCCTCATAGCACACTGTATGGCGTATGCCCGTCGTCTTTAGCCCAGTTTAGGAGAGAACAGTAGGACGTTAAACTCCATCTCATTTCATTTCATGCCATCCTGTCTTTGAAAGTAATGATTATGCCAAATTTGAACATCTAGTTCCGCAGTCTGTAGTTATACCAGAGGGTTGACAGATAACACCTTAAAAAAAAACAGATCTATGAAAATATATTTTCTAAACCTTTTTTAATTTTGAAATTATATTGTTTTCACGTGTGATAAGTGTTTTAGCGAATAGTTGTAGAAAGGGTCTTGTAGATTAAGACTATAGCGCATGTGTAGTTTCAAACTTCCGAGACGACAAGTCGACAAGTCGATGATACGACAGTTTGGTTTTGTCGTATCATCGACTTGTCGACTTGTCGTCTCGGAAGTTTGAAACTGCACGTGCGCTATAGTCTTAATCTACAAGACCCTTTCTGTAACTACATGTATTCGCTGAAACACTTAGCATACGCGAAAACAATATTATTTCAAAATTAAAAGAGTTTTAGAAATATATTTTTATAGGTCTGGTTTTTTCTTTGTTTTTTTGTACGTTTGATCTGTCAACACTCTACCTATAGGCCGCGAATGTAAACTGACTTTGTTCAAATTTGGCACAATCATTACTTTCAAAGAAAGCATGACACTCTCGAATGTAAATGCATGACCGAATCACTACTGTCATATTGAAATGTGTGTGTTTTTAAATCTTTTTCTTGATCGCTGCTTTCCTTGTTTCATGTTAAATGATGATCCATTGGAAGGAACATATTGAGTAAATGTACGTTATCACTGATACGGATTCAATATGTAATAATATTTCTCATGTTTAATCAATTTTTGACATATTATTTTCCAGTTGTATCAAACATCATTGATACCATTTTATTGATTCTGGAATTATTTGTAAAACTAAATAAGAGACGTGGGGTGGGGTATGAGGCTGTGTATTCATAGTTGAAGATATTACTTGGCCTTTTTTTACTCATTTAGGCCCCAATCCCATCAGTGATGTCAAACGGATGCAAGCCTATATGCGATAAGGTCAATAACGGCTGCGAATCGTTTACTCCACCTCATAAAAAAACTCCTGCATCTATTTGGGTGACGTGGGGGGGGGGGGGGGTATGAGGCTTTTAGAGTGTGTTCATAGTTGAAGATATTACTGGGCCTATTTTTACTCATCTAGGCCTCAATCCCATAAGTGATGTCAAATGGGGGAGAGAGAGAGAGAGAGGGAGAGAGAGAGAGGGGGTTTAACGTCCACTCGACACAAATTAGGTCATTTCGGGACTAACATATGGTTTAATTTTATTTCAATAATTCGCTTGCGCGTAGGGGTCTTTAGCAGTGGGAGGAAACCGGAGGACCCGGAGAAAACCCACGAGGTTTGACGGGCGACCCTACACCTTGTCACGTACAACCGGGGATTCAAAACCACGCCAGTTGACTCAATGACAGGCTGTGAATCGTTTTCTCCACCTCATTCAAAAAAAAAAAAGACTCCTGCAACTATTGGGGTGACGTGCTGCACTATGATAATGCTGTGATTTTAAAGAATGTGACCCGATTTGGTTTTTTTACAATCCCCTTCCTACCCTGTCTTCTGAAATCATTTTTAAACTATCTCTCCAGTCATCTATAAATATTGGTGGGTGTCGTACACATGGCAATGAATGCTTACTTGTGTGATACCTCCCGACACCACTTTTTCTTCAAGGAATTAACTTAGTTAACTCACTTTGGTCCTGCTATTGTAATTCTAGATTTTTTAAATATAATACCAAATATAATTCACTTGTGGACACAAAATGTTTCATTATTTTGAGAAAACAAATAATTAATCAACGTTTTCCTACTATCTCTTTTATATTTATCAAATCTACTACTTAGGTCTATATATGATGTAATGCGTACAGCTGTATTTTTGTGACTTGTAGAAAGAGACTAGGACAATAAGTCGACATCTCGACGTTACGATAAAAATAACACGATGATACGACAGAATAAAGTGTCGTATGATTGCGTCAATACTGTCGTGATGTCGTGTTGTCGCGTTATGAAAAGGGCGAGATTTAACATGGCCACTATCAGCCACCATAAAAGAGCAGCTTATCCAGCTGTAATATTATAAAACAAGGCTTGTTCAGAATTGATCAGGCTGTAGGAATTAGAGTTCATTTCTCAAAATTATTCGGAGGTCACAGGACCTATTTTACGCTTGGCACTTTTGCAGAGGAAAGGGATCGGATAAAAAAAAACCCTACAATGCTTGCGAAAGTAAAAAAAAATCCATGCACCATAAAACAAGTTATTGCACATCATGTGCAGTTCAACAATCAGCTTGTTTCCCAACATCGGAGCTAGACACTCGCGCCGCCTAAACACGAACTCGTGTCCTCATTAAAGGCAAATTGCTTTTTTGTACATGTTGAAACTATTTTAATATCATATAGATAATGAATAATATACACAAATTGCAACGGCTGGCTTTCTCCTTTAAGCTTTATTCAAAAGTACGCCCTAGCTTTAAAAACTTCATTATTCCTCGATATTAATACTGAAATATCTGAACCAGCTAATGTAATATCTTACCACATTACACAGATCAACAAACAGTGCAATAAAATCATAATATGTATGTAGCTGACAGCACAAAGTGATTAGATTATTCACCTTTCCGCTACAGATAATTATATGACTCAGAGTATAGGGAGCTCTCTCGGTAAATATCCAGTTCAGCATGCTTTCCTCCTGTCAGTAGTGCAGGACAAAGGGCCTGTGACGGAAATGGCATTTAGTCATTGATTGGATGCGACTGAAATCCGAGATCCCGAGTTTATCATTGGCAGCACAATAATAGATTCCCTGGAAATTGAAAATCGAAATAAACGTAGGCTGCTCGGGAAAAATTTCCCTTATAGCACACTGCATTAGACCGGTTGGTGCAGAAAAGTAAGACGTAAAACCCCATTTCATTTCATTTAGTTAAAAAATTAGACAAATCGTTTGGGTTTTTTCGTTTGCACATTTATTTACCATGAACAATATAAAGCACCAGGTCACAATTAGAAACTAACTGTAAACATCGTGACATTATGGAAAATATGGTGAAAGTGTTAAAATTAACCGAGGTAGAAAACAACAAGACTATAATGATGATCATTGTGTGGGGCCACAGTAGATCGCATCCTACACTCTTGTAGTGGGATCGTTTACTGTGGCCCCAGACGGTATATATTGATGTACATTTACTATCATTTCAAACATACAATGAATTAAATTTACAAAATATAGTCTATTGATGAACAAATCGCTTAGAAGTCAGATTTACTGTAACAGAATTAATGACGGTAAAGAGTTTTTTTTAAAAATGTATTCCAATCTGAATAAAGTCTCTAACTCATCAGGTGTTAAGTTGATCAAAAGGAAAGTAATTTACTATTTATATTGAGAGGTGCCCAGCCAATGTTAAGGACATGGAAAGTATACACCCTAAAAACTATTACAATTCAAAAATCATCAAAATACTTAAAAATAAGAAATGATCCTTAAGAAAGCCAGATTGTACCATTAACAATTAAAAGATATGGTGTATAGATATATATATATATATTATATTAATTAATAATTAACACAAAAACAAGGTGTAAAAAACACAGAAAATAACTAACATAACTTACTATACAGGTAACATGTTTATAGTCTTTTCTTTTCAAAAATACAATATATGATAAAAAGAACGAACTTTAGTTCAGCTTGGAATGTACAATTTATGTTCTACAATAACTAATATTTGACAAAACTAAACTGACAAAATCGTTCATTTTTTGGTAGCCACGCTATAACCCTGTGCTTGGATTCCTAATTTTGTATGCATGCAAGCTATAACGTTTGTGTAAATGTTCAGTTTTAAACATAAATTATTGAAGTCGATCACGTTTCAATTTTTGTCGTTTTTTCAAATTTAATGATATGAATTTATAATATATCGTTTTTAAAAATAAGGATTTAGGAATCGGAACATGATTTAGGCTCAAAAGAGACTCCTGTAAATTCGGGCCATACTGAACATTTGGACAAACGTTTCCAGTTTTTACATTAATCAAAATCTATATTAGAAATCTTGAAATTTACAAATGATAAATGATAATAAAGTCCATACAAGCACACTGAGAAAACGATTTAAATACATTTAGAACAATGTACAAAATAAAAATATATTATAATGTGTTTATAACCAACAATAATTATTACTCATAATTAAATGCATTAAAAGATAGCACTACTATTCACAAAATACCACACCACCTTTTGTCTTTATCGTTTCAGAAAATATCTCTGAAATCCTGATTGTCATAGAATAGTATAATTTAAAAAAATAATAAGCGAATGAACACAACGAGAAGTTCAAGAGTAGATCCATTTAAGTCTTCTCTCCATTTGAAAATTACAAACATTAAATGGATGTGAAACTATATAAATACCTAACTTGTGTATATAACGAGAGAATTAACAGTTAAAGTTAAAACACCGTTACCCATTACACACATTTATGATGTTGACGTCACTGATCTCGACACTATATCTTAGTGTCAATAGCTGTATTACACCGTGGCTGTACTGTATACGAACCAGGTGTAACGAGACACGATATAATCAATTTCTATTTTTGTCCATGGATTGAGTGATGATCAGAATATAACTTCGTATAATGTCGCTTTTTTATCTCCTGATCCCGTAACAATATATTTATCATCACCAGATATATCGCAACTCAACACAGAAGATGATTCTTTAGACTGAAATAAGAAACCAGAGACACATAAACCATTTTGAATACGCGGATTGGAAAAGACCTATATTAATTTGTATATATGGTGAAATTTAGCATGAATTAGGAAGATATACAGACAAGAGACAATGTTACAATAAAACAAAACATAAAAATCGATTTATAGATTTGTGTGGACAACCTTTATTCGAACAAAAACTACAGACATGCGTTTTCATAGGTTTAATTTACTAAGCTTTACAGTACATTGAGATCACGACACCATTATATTAAACATGTATTATCAAGTAAATCCAAAAAGAAAAAAAAATCGTGACGACTCAAAGACGTCTATAATAATGTACATTACAAGTTAATGTCCGAGATAAAAGGCAACCAAACAACGATGTCTTAAGAGTAATATTCTGAAGCCCACGTCATGAGCACTTACCAACCTTTAAACTTTCAGAATAATTGATATGACAACAACGATATATCAGTGTGTATGTTTTAACTAATTCCGATCGCGTCGTGATCCTAGCTTATTTATAATATTTGTATCATGTAATACAGGTCAAATGAGTTGTTTTCCTTATTCAATGCAAATTAATGAACAAATGAAATAGGGTTTAATTAACTTCCTACTTTTCTGCACCAACCGGGATAAGAAAGACGTGCAATCGCCTGGTTTGCAACTGGGTTCCAATTGTCAAGGGCTCTTTTACGTGTACGACAACATGTACGACAACGTGTACACGAGACCTAGGTTTATCGTCCCCTCCGGACGACTGGAAAATCACGCTTGTAAATCCCGGAGAAATTTCTTAGCCAACACCGGTATTGAACCCCGGACGTTACTGACACGATAAACTATTCTGAAGTAATAACCTATAGCAACAACAAATTAAACTGAAATAATAAAATATTCTAGAGTATATGTCATAGTAACTCAAAGATACAAATAAGTTATTCTAGGGTAAATAATTCAGCTGAATCATTTATATATACATACCTGAAAGATACTGGCACCATAAGGTGTCCTCCAGGCATTCAGTAAATTATCTTTTCCTGTACTCACGAACCATTTACCGCAATATGCAAATTTAAGAGAAAGAACACAACTTTCATGTAGATGTAGTTGATATTTATCAGGTTTGGCATGATGTAAAACTTCCACATTACTGCTCTCCATACTGAAACATAATATTTGGCATAAATTCATCTAATTTGCAAAATGTTTATGCATGCATCAGAACCTTTATAATAACACCTAACGTGTTTGATGAACCAAACCTTATTACAAAATTGCTTCACAATTTTGCATGAATTTATGAATGATGTCAAGTCTGAAATTGATTAGATCATGCGCAGTGATAAAATTTAATTGATGAAAGAAACAAGCCGCCATAATGTGATTATCTCATTTTCACATTTGGAACGTTCCCATATTATTATCACACCATTTTGTTTTGTATTATCATAGATGATCTATTGAATAATTTGCCACCCATAATAATTTCAATCTTACAATTATTAACTATAAAAAATAAACAAATAAAACTGACGTGGAGACAGATAGTATATTAATTATTGTCAATTTATTCTCGTCAATGATTATTATGTTATTTTGCAAATTCTTGCATTTTAATGGGGTAGATATGTGATATAAACAATGGCGACGAATGTTTATTATCTCGCAGCGAATACCATCGATTACTATGTTTTTTTTTTATTCAGTGCAATGTTTTAAATATGCAATGATTTTGAATTCAAAGCGAGAATAGATAGATAATTTTAATACATTATTACATGGCCACGGGACACACAACACAAATAATTTATGGTTGGTTGGAGACATAAAAGTCTTAATTCGTTGTTTAGAAGTTAAATATAAAGGATAACGTTTTGTACTAATAACTACCTCTATGAATATATTCTTGTATTTATCGAACATTATAGCTTAAGTGGTTTACTCTGAGTTTAATGGTCCTTGATTCAATTTGTTATTTCGATTCTATTGTTGATATTCCTTTGTTTAAAATAAATAGACCACCAGGTGACTAATAAGGAATTGATCTGTAAGAGTGTAACCTTCTTGCCTACTTCAGACAGGTAATTCGCATAAAATTTTCCATACTGTTCAGCACAATTTTTGCAAAGGTCAATATGCACCCTTCCAGTCATTTACATTTGCTGGTAAAATTAAACTTACCCCACAGCTAACCAATCTCCAGTTGGACAATATCCTAATGAGAAGATTTGAGACGTAAAATCATGTTGTTGGAGTTGTCTCCCCTAAATTACAAATAGAACGATATAATAATCATGTCTATGTACTTGTACTATTAAAGATGGTGATAATGACAATAGAAGATCTAATTAACAACGCGTTCAAATAAATACTGATCAGTGCCTTACATAAAGGTTCGCATATCAATTACATTGGCACTAAGAAAAGAAACAGAAATATTAAAACATGATTAAAACTGACATTATTCTATATAGTTACCCAGTTTTAAAAACAGAAAATGACACTATAATACGCCAGACGAGAATTTTGTTTTAGAATTCTTTTGGAAATTAATTATAAATTACCTCTCTTAAATCCCAGGATCTAACAGTATTATCTAAACCACCCGTCCATAATTTGGTTCCATCTGGAGAAATATCAATACAGCTAGCTCCATCTGTATGACCTTGAAATTGTCTGAAGGTCAAAACAAAGACTATAATAAGTATTGAATATGGTAATTATAAGTTATGTTACTGAGTGAGAGTGGACTAGATTTGGTAATTAAGAACAATAAAATAAAAAGTTGAACTATTATTTTAAATTATATCTGGTATTGTAATGTGTAAGTGGGTCGACAAAATAGATAAGGTAAATGGTATAAATTTGATGATGCTAATATAAGAGATATACTGAATGGATGATAATATAGAACAATGAAATAAAGAGTAGTAGCCTACTATGTGATTATATTACCTGACTAATGTCTGATTATGAAGATCCCATACAGCTATATTACCATCACTACAACAACTAAAACATACTTTATTGTCAGGACTTAAAGCCAGGGCATAACATGCTGGAGCACTCGATGTTAATTCAGCCTTGATTCGGGGTGTGGACTGCAATGAAAAAAAAAAGAATTAAATGCATTGTAAACTGAAATTAGTGTTAGCGCTATTCCAATTAATGTAAAATATGATATTTTGTAAATCATTAAAAAAACATCAACGTAAAATCTGATAATTATTGAAAAAAAAAAGACGAAACTTACAGCTGCTAAATCCCATATTGATAATGTACTCGCTTCACCACCAACAATTAAAGTTCTGCCATCTTGTAATAATTTGATAGATCTAATATAATTATCTTTTTGCTGAAAAGAGAAAAGAATTTTTAAATACAAGCGATTATTCCATATCTTTTTGATCAATTGTTTTACACGAACCTCGTTTTTCTCGAATAAAACTAACACGATTCTGACGTTTGTTATAACACGGTTTAACTGTCGACATATAATGCTCGGAACTGTGGGTATAAAACAGTAACCAAAACCACATTATTTTGTATGTCTTAAGTTACAGATATATTTAAGTACATTCCATACCAACTTTATATTAAATAATGGTCTTCCAAATGGCGACAGTAAGATTAAATAAAACCAATATCCTATAAAAACTTACCAAACAATCGAGTTGTGAAACTGGACTTTTATTACCAGGTTGACTGATATCCCATACTTTTACACAACCCTGAATAATACATAATAATTCCACACTTTTATACAACCCTAAAAGTTACATAATAACATGATATTCCACACATTAAACAGCCCTTGAAAAATGCATAATAACATAATATTCCACACATTAAACAACCCTTGAAAAATGCATAATAACATAATATTCCACACTTTTACACAAAACTAAAACATGCATTACATGATATTTTACGCAACCCTAAATAAATAATTATTATCCTAAATGGAACTGATAATTCATTATGATTAACCTAATCCAAAGTCCTTTTAAATTACCCAGTATTTAATACAAGCTCCATCAGACTATCCATTATCCAGATTTCAATACATTTACAGTAACCGAATTATTGGTCATTCGTATAACTCAAGTGGGAATACTAATGGTCAATGATGTTTCCACTGAAGGGGTTCTTATTATATTAATTCTCTCAATTTGCATAAAACAGTGAATAATAGATATTAACCCAATATTAAACCAGTTGAATTACTTGGACAATGCTAACCCAATCACACGTTCCAATTACTATTGCTCGTAATGTGGAATTCTACGATTTGTAACGATCTTTATTGCCTGCCAATGAGGATATTTAATATATACCCCCACCGATAAACAGAACATAACTTCTGGTTATATGCACTATACTTCTATATTCAAATAATCTTTCTTTTAATTTCAAATAAGGCAGTCATTACTCAGTTAATATTTGAACTTTCATATTAATGGTTTTCAAGAATCTTTTCCAGCCTTCACATAACGTGAAATTACAATTATCAATTGACTGTTTACTTCTGACTTCAGATTATACCTAAATAACAGTTAGTCATAAAATTAACAATTAATGAACAAATGAAAATGGAAAGTTAACCTGTGATGACCCATGTGAATAAATCACGAAAGCTTTTAGGGTAGACATTGGTCACTACCCGGGCGGTCCCTTTCAAACATTAAAGAACTTTATCTTGCAAAAGCATTTTTACCTTTCCACCCGTATATACATGTCTGGTCGGGTTGCTAACCGTTACCGCACAAACAACTTCTCCATGATTTAAAGTATTAATCTGACGAGCATGACGAGGAATTCCTGGACCAATTAGAGCGTCTGGTGGGAACGGCACAGGCTGCATCTGACCATCCCCACTCACGTGAAAAGAATACGCCCTGAAAATATAATTATTTGAAAGAACTCATTAACCGTATTTTTCTAATGGCGTAGATAAAGTGCTAATTACCTTTTATCATAAACATTTATTTATATACTCTTCTTCACCCTCGTGTTCTTTTTTCTATCGTATTCATTAATGCATTAAAGACACATCATTACTTACGGTTTTCCTCCTGGGATGTTACCAAGAGACGGTCTGATTGGTGTATGAGGTTCAAATCCAACCTATAAAAAATCACAATACATGTAATTATGTCTAAACCATAGCAACAAATGTAAAGAAGATGGCTGGCTTAATATACTACGCCCACATGCTGTGCCCTTATATGTTTTTTCGACTACTCATTGAATGTATTATTAACTACATAATATTTCCATATTTACAATTGAAGAGTTTTTCATGAAAATAATCCATCCTTACAATAACATAAATATTTAAATAACGTCTATGGAAGGTGATCAATTTCAATTCAAACAACCATTTTACAAATTAGCACCCTGACTTGATCTGACTCACTTATAAATATTCTAAATGTATTATACAATTCTGTCTTAGGTTTGAAGCAGTATAATGTACATTATGCTCTAAAGACGGGAAAACGCCTGACTGTTCGAGATATAAGTCTTTCTGCGCAAACATTTGTTAAGTTTTATTGTTTTAAACAGCCATTTGTTAATCATTATTGTTTTTAAACAGGCGCGGGCATCTAGAATTATTAGTGGTTTGGGGCACTGCCAAATTTCTTCCCAAATTTTATTGCTGAAAATCCCCAGAAAACGGCCATTTTGTTTTTAAGAATAAAAGCAACGCCTAAATCATAGACGCTATCATCATGTCTCCATTTATAACAATGTTTTAGAGCTATAACGAGGGGAGTATTAATTATGTAGATGACACCTAGTGACGGCTGCATTTTCTCTGGCAGGTGACTGTCTTATTAAATATGTATGCTATCTAAATATGGGTTTTATTAAGCTTTAATGCAAAATTGAGATGTCATTCGCAAGCAAGGTATAATTGAGAAAAAACCTTACCAATGGTCTTGGGAAGTTATTCAACGGACCAGGAGAAATATTGTTGTGTAATACGTGATTGGCAAACGCTCCACTAGCACTAAGGTCTGTCGGTAATCCAGCATGACTGGCGCTTGGTAAAAATGGGAATGCTCCTGCTAATAAAAAGGCACGTGATGTACATACGTAAATCAAGTTTTATTCCATTCTTGCATGCTGCAGCAGAATACATACACTTTTCAATGGTCCAATAATCATAAATATCCAACTATTTAAAGTAATTCAATATCATTAATGGCACAAACAATCATGATACATACGTCTTGATAGCGGAGCAAATAGCCCCGATCATAAAGACTCCTTTTGGATGGTGCTACCAATTGCATGTAGTAGATTCAATAATTAGATTTATTCAATTATCTAAACCTATTGGAGATATCAGTAATTGCATAAATGCTTATGATACGTGTTGATGGGCTAACAATTTCTCAATCATAAAGACACATGTCTAGATTATCACACATTAGACATATTATGACCTAAAATTAACTTGCAAAACACATGATGAGAAGGGGAAGTTAGAAGTTTTTTCTAAACAAACCTGGTTTTGAATTGGCAGATGGTCCAGGAGTCGTATTACCAGAACTAGTGGGGGTCGCACATTTAGAAACAGGGGTGGCGGACTTGTCATTCTAAAAAGAAAAAAATAACATAATTTATTTATGTAGTAAATTTGTTTTATTTTAATTCTGGAGTTGGATATTATTTCATAAATGAATTAAAATGTAAATACGCGATATTTTTTGTTGTTGCATGAAAATATATTGATAGTATCATATGACGTAACACCTGTAGTTCGACCTCAAATTTTATACGCCATGTCGAACAGGGTTTTTCAAATGCAAACACAAATAAAGATATTATTAGAAAAACACAGAGAGATTATGCACCTGTCATGTGTGTTTCGACAATATGCTCTTACAATCTAAAATTGTTTCTGACTGAGCAAATATTTTATTGTTTCTGTTTTAAGATAAAATCTTGTAAACCTTCATTTACGCAGCACACGAAAGTCCCTATTTTTAAAGTTTGCGTTGTCTTCGCATTTCTTCCACCAAATTCAAGTATTGTGTAGAACCGGCAAGACAAGTGAAAACAAGGAAGTTCAGTGACAACCTAAAGAAGAAACCTGATTTTTGAATTAAAGACCTTTGGTAACTCAATGGGAGCAGCGAAATAGGTAGTTTTGGACCGTTATCGATGAAAATCCACCGTGGAGTATGTAAATTAACCAAAATTATTTAAATAAAAAAAAGTTTCTATCTTGACCTCTTTATGTTTTGATGATGAGGAACTGGCATGCGAGGAAGCATCACTTCTAGGACTTCCTGTATTCCGTTCTTCTTTTTTATGATTTGTTTCTTTTGACTTTTCTCTTGGTGACAGATCACCATTGATAGGAGAGACAGCATCCTGGAACACAGAATATACAAATTATTATAAATGGGGATTATTGATTCGGCCTAGCACAATGCAATACAAGGGGTTACAGATTCTCACAGGAGGACACAAAATCCCATAGCGTTTACGGGACAAGTCGAATATAAGACTTGAGGGTGGTACTTTTCGGGATCAGTTCTACAGTAGATACTAAAACACATTGCTAATTTCATAATATTTCAGAAGAGTTTGAGGGAGTCATTGTCCTAACTTATTTTGTCCTAAATACCTATACGCTTTACACATATTGCACAATTCGTGCAAAGGCCCAGCACGTCTTCTGACACTATTAATAGACATTTAGTATCTATCAGGCGTATATCAATTCCTAACAATGTTTCAGTACTACTTACATCAACAACGAGATCCTGATCACTCTTTTCACCGTCACTATCCTAAAAAACACAAGTATAAGTTAAATCATCTTTACACATTTATCTATAATTAGCACCTATTGATTGTTCCAATAATATTACCATAATGACATCATCTAGCATCATAATTAGCTTATTACATGTACAAACTCCGACCATAAATCTACTGTGATAATTACTCGCTAATTAGCTAATTACTATAATGATATAATTGTAGAAACTGTTGGCAATACTGCTACATCAAATACAAATAAAAGGCTTACAGCTCCTTTCTCATCTGTTCGTCGTTTTTTAGAATTTGTAGAATTTGAGGCTTCAGGAGATCGACTTCGATGACGAAATTTGTCCCTGTCCCCAGGAGATACGGAAGATCGCTGTAATATGAATATAAAATAAAAAGAAAATCCAACAAATAACAGCAGACACATTTATATTGATTATTTTGCCATAATATAGAAAGAAAGCTACCAATGTTTTATCTGATTTTTTCAATTAAGTTAATCATAGAAATGAAATGAAAAGGGGTTTAACGCCCTACTGTTCTGCTCCTATGCTGGGCTAATGAAGACGGGCATACGCCATACAGTGTGCTATGAGGGAAATTTTATCCGGGCAGCGGCACTATTGCCTACTCTTATATCGAATTCCAACTGCCAGGAGATCTTTTACGTGCATTCCAATGTATACACAGGACCTCGGTTTTTCGTCTCATCCGAAGGACTAGACAGCTGTCCTTGTCAGGCCCTCCGTCCTGCATCACTGACAAGGGGGAACCACGCCGGAAGTTAATCATAGAGGGTTTATCATATTTTGTTATGAATGTTTTTTTTAACTAATATTGAAATCTTATGGTTTTAGGGAACAATATGAATGCCCTATTTTAAAGTTCCTCTATCACAACCTGGATATGGTTGAGCAATGTTATTGAAGCAAATTAACACAGGTAACAACAGAACTACCACGCCCAACCTACCCTATTAAAATCTCTACTTTATTTGAATCGAGCGGATAGATATTTATTTCTGACATATCTCCTATACCTTTTTGACTCCCAAAAGAAAGCATTGCGCAGTTCAATAACTACATGCATTTTATTGTCGTTATTGGGACTTTAACAATAGCTGAGAAATATTGCATTGATCGATAACTGTTGAACGTTAAAACATAATTAGAAGTATTTACATTGTATCGTAACCAATAATCGATATCGTGGTGTTCTTCGGATTATTTTTGAAAAAAAACCCCAACCCAAACCAAAACAGTAAATACTTTAAAGATATGAGATGTTTCAAAGAGAGCACAACAACGGGTGTCCTACGATATTTAGAAGGCACTTGTTGATTTGCATGGGTATTAGAAAATATCTAATGAAAAGGTATAAGATTGACCAACACGTAACAAAAAATAATAAATTACGCTCTATTTTAAGCGCCTCTTATGTTATCTTCTCTTCACATACGGATCAAGGTCCTCGCCATAATACAATCTTACTAATCTTAACATTTTATTTTTTTTGGTTGGAAATTTCAAATTACATCTGGTGTTAAGAAGGATAAAACGAGTTGAAAATATTGCAAGCGTCTGACAACAAAATTAAATACAGTGTATAACCCGAGAACCTTAACTAACAACCTATGAATTTTGAACTTGGTAAACACTCGGGGTTTATTTACAGAAGCTTAATCTAACACATAATTCAAAGTTGATATTTACTTAAGATCTTCAATACAGCTTGTGCACGATTTATAAGTATACTCGATATGGGGCTAAGAATACAAGACAGGATAGTTGGACAAATTCTCTTCTTTATCTTTTAGAGTCAATAAGTTTTCTACTTGACGTGTTACTCAGTGCAAATTAATCTGTCTTAAAAGGAGCAAACATAATAATGGAATTAAAAAAAAAGCAGCTGCCAAACGATAAAACGCAGCGTCAGTATGTTGTAATTGTGTTAAGATTGATAATAATTTTGTTATGATGGTTATTAAAACGGGATATAGCAATTTATATATGTCATTCATCATAGCACAACGCGATTTATAATACAACCCTTGACATGAAATTACTATGCATGTATCATTCTACTAAATTGACAAATTCTGCTTTAAATTCTAAATATAGCTCGTTGCCAGTCAACGACGGGTGGGACCACCATCGACAGCAACGTCACCTGAGGTTCCCTTAACGGTGATCATGTGTCACACCCACAACTCGGGGTTTTCAGAAAAAAATCTCTTATATAAACCCTGTACAAGGATTTTGAAAGAGACTGTTCGTAAAGAAATGTGGACAGGGGTAATGTCAACCTCTAAGATAATTTAACTGAAATATTCCTTATGATCAATGTACATGAATTCTAAAGAGAGAGTCCATAAGACATAGGATCAGGGGTGATGGCAACCTACAAGCGAATTCAAGGAGCGGCGTTGGTTTATGATGTTGTGGGAATTTATTCACAGATATTTACTGTATTTGTCAAGTTTAAACACTTAAGAGAAGCTAATAATGTTCTGCTAATATGTCACATCCCCGGAATATCGACGTTCATCTCCAGCAGGATTCGAAACCCGGAACCTCTTTTCAATGCAACAGCAAGAAAGACAGTCGCAAAACTAGACAAACAGCCAATTCATTGGAGACATAATACATGACTCAGAGAATAGATATAATAAAGATAATTACATATTGGGCAGGAAACGAGTCACAGCGGATGTACGAAGTAGATTTGTAGATGAATACCAAAATTTATTATTGCGAATTCAAATAGGCCTAATACCACTCTTCCGCTAGATAAGACCCGTTACTCAATATTGTCTTCGTGATAATTTTCAAACAATAATTAGTAAATGAAGAGCCCACTTCCTATCACGAATAGAAACAATGGAACGGTACCCTTGGGTGCGATATCCTGCTTGATATATTTCTTAGAAATAGGTTTTCAAATCATATAAATTTCAATGTATTTCCCAAAATTTTCGATTGTTCTTGGTATTACTAATGCAGGAAGTGAATTTAGAACACAAACATCAAAATGATTTTTTGTTCTTTTAAAAAAAACCCCACCCTTCAGATTCATCAGTTCACGTGATGATGACAAATTTTAAGACTCTTTTATGCTACTCGCAAATAGCAACACAGAACGATGGTCACAAGTTCATGTCAACCTCGTCAAATTGTCAATCTGACACATTGATTCCTCAAAGGACACCCTGAACGTTATTATATACAGTATCATTCTGAATTACAAAGACATTTTATTCATTACAGTCTATACAGTACACCAAGGTTACTCGACTTTCACTACAAACGCCCAGTGATAGGACAAAATTTGTCGATTTTAATATGTGCTTGATTATGTATAATTCTTATAGTCTGGGAAAAAATATGGAAGATTGAACACACCCATGATAGATTCAGCATTATCATCTTTTCGAGTGATTTAATGGTTATAGGTAACCAGCACCGGTACTCCCTAAAGATACCTTCTCATGTACAAACTGGGTCATTTGATGATATATTTGGTCTAAAAACATATTCAAACTAATTAATCTATCAAAAAATTGCTTCAAATCCCTCTTAAAACATTGTATTCTCAAGGATATACCCCAAGCTGTAAAAATCTATTAAATTAAGTCATGTTTGTGTCAAGTGACTTGGCTGTCGCGGTAACTAGCAACGGGTGCCAAGCAAAGGAGAATTCATTGCATATACAAGATGATGTTGTCTTTAACCACAAATATCGAAGCCCAAGTAAATTCACGGATTATCGCCTGCCCACATTTTTGTCACGGTTTTTATCTCAGAAACTGTTGTATGTTTAAGTCTCTTACTTTTTCCACGTCCGCTCACCATCAAGTTTATCAACATATACACCAAGCGCTCCCTAACGCAAAGAAATCAGACAATATACGCGTGCAATCTTTGACGTCACTCGAGCAGAGAGTCCTTAATTGTCGCGCTGTCAATTGGTGACACCCTCTCATTTTTGTCTTGTGGGCGCTCCATGGGTGTTTTTCACGGAATCCAGTATTTTTCTAGTAAGATTGCCATACTTTTATTTGAAATAACTACCCGGTAAAGAATTTACCTTTAACATTATCTTAATGAGAATCGAGTGTATTTACATTATTACTATTCTTAACACCTCGAAAATGTTTCTAGGTCCCATGAAGGTGTTAACAAGATCTTTTTTTCAAAATACCTATTAAACGAAACATACACCCACAACAGCTAAGTCGTCCAGGCAGTCAACACGGGTTGTCGTACATCCTTTTCTTTTGTGCGTGATGAAAACATTTACAACACGCTAAAATCTGATTACGAGTGACAACCCATTAAGTTTAAGTAATTATCAGATATCATTAGAATTTATCTGACTTTTATTCTGCCCTATAACATTTAGTATACAAACATTTAATACCAAGGGCCATAACTCTTGAAGTAATTTTCGAAAATAGGCCTCGTCGTCTTATAACCTTAAACGCTGTGTATAAATTTAATGTTAATCGGATATTAACTTTAGCCGCTAGAGCGTCAGCAAGTTTTTTCAAAGTGATCAAGGGCCATAACTATGGCTGTAACTACCGGAAATCGATAGGATTTTCGTCTCATGACCTTAAAAACTATGTGGAAAGTTCAAGGCAATCGGATATTAACTTTAGACCCCAGAGGGACAGGGGTGACGACAATATACGACCGCATTTCAATGTGGGCGTATAAAAAGACTGTCTTGAATTAAAAGATTAATTTCATTCCAAGTTTAGAAAATTAACACCGATATATAAATGCTCAAGTATATTGGGTTTAGTTTTTTGATTTTGTTTTATATCCAATGGCAATACATTGGTGATTGATATTTATTGACATAATCTTATTGAATTCCATCTCAATAAAAAAATACACAAATACGCCTCTCTAATGGATACACCAGCAAAAAAACATGTAATATTTATTCAAAGTTCTTTATTTGTTTCCCTGTTAATGACACTGCACTTAATAATCCGCTATTCTTCAGCTCTATCACTAATGCGTTTTATTGAGTGAGCATTCAATTCAAATATAGTATATCTATCTCTTATACTGAAATATATCCCAGTCAATGCATTTAATACAAATGCAGGATAATGCCTTATCTGGCCTGTCTCTTTGCTAATATTTAGATTAATGTACTACTAGCCTTCAACTTGACTGTAGATTAATAATATGAGCCGTGTTTACATTTCTTTCTAATTCTGATCTTTGACTCATCTAGAATAAGCTTGTAATAATAGAGATTAAAAGGTTGCTAGTCGAGAAAAAATCCTCGCTCTGGGTAATCATTATAAAGTAAACACTTGCCTAGTAACTTGAGGTGTGCAATGGAAGATAGATGGTGTATATCTACTTAATGTATGTTTGGACCGAACTCCCTCGACTAAACTAACATCGACAACTCTCAGTAAATAGAGAAAAGACTTAAGATAAACACATGATGCTTGAACTTTTCCTATTCAGTCAGTTGCCCTGTTATTTGGCTTATCTCAAACTATTTGCACAGCCGATTATTTGATTTGGACCTTTGTATTGGCATTATAGAAACAGGGGTTTATAATTTCCTCTTTCGTTCTATTTATAACATTAAGAGGACCTAATCCATTTCAAGACGGGAGTTCAACGAGACACGTGCACTATAAAAAGTTGAAAGACCTAAAAACAACTGATCAACGAAGCAAATACATTTAATCGACCATAATAATTCGTTTTAGAGATTCACTATTTACTTTAATTGTCGCTTGATATATCATGAAATAATGTTATACTTTTCACATAAAGTCTAAAAATAACAAACACATATCATGTAAATCTTTGTTTGGGGTACTAAGGTACGGTGTTTATGTTTTATTTGATAAAGAATATTAACTAAGGCAGAAATAAACTTCTTGTTAAGAACATACAAAATATTTGATTTTCCTTTCATCTTATTTTTATCTGAAACTTGAGAATTATAGACCCCGATTGTACATAAGAAAAGCTCATTGGGCAAAATAAACTCATTTCTCAGCAAGCTAGAAGTAATCCTTTGTCACCAGGAAGACCAAACACTGCATGTGGACAGAAGAAGCGGCCATATTTGTTTAACGAGCCTCTCATTCATGCAACTACAGGAGAGAATAGAAAAACGTAGAGAACATGAATTGCGCTCCACAGACATTAAATATTGTCGTAGAGGAAGAAGGGTAAACAGTTAATATCTTCTAACAACACTCTACGTTGCCCAATATTTACACTTCACACTTTGACATTGTACTAGATTGCTAACTCCGGCAACCCCAAGAAAAATCTCTGTAGCCGACTTCTATTTACTCCATGAACAAAATACTCCATACTGGAAGGCAAACTAATTTTTGCCTTTGGTGCAAGACGATGGATGAACAAATAACTGCGGTAAACTTCATCGCCTGCCTAGTACAATACTCACCAAGTAGGCAAAATATTGACACTGCGGGGTCACAATACTAAGCATTTTAAACGCCTTGTTATATCCTACAAATCTTTTTAGGGAAAACAAATTTCACAAAGATGAAAGCCATTTTGGGTATACTTAAAAGAAGTGGTTATTTTCTATCGAGTTATATATTAATGTCAGTATGGCTGAGTACACATTCTCCGTAATCAAATTAGATACATCAGATTTGTTGAAGAGGCGAAATTATTGATTTTCACATTTACTATTTTAACAATTGAATGTGCGTCTTATTATCTCACAAAGGTTATAGATATAGGTTAAGTTACTTACATTAAGTAATTCTTAGTGTCATGTAATACCTATTCTTATTTACGTTAGTATTTCAACAACAATAGCTGCATTTAGTGACGTCAGTCGTTAAAATCATATTATTATTATTGATTTAAGAATTTAAAGTTGCGAATTTGATATCAACATGTGATTTGTCCTTATTACGTTCCTTACTTTTATGATAATTAAATTGATCATTTTCATCAAGAATGGGGTCTCATCGACCATTTCCAAACGACCCCTCCGTCGGTGTTCAAAATATGAACCAAGTCGCCAATCGCAGTCAAAAACAGTCAGATTACAACCAGACCAAATAAACATCATTCTGTGCACTGCTTTAATGTTTTAAAAAACAAATTATTTTTGGTATCAGATATAGTTGCTAAAAGGGTGGATTTGGCGTCAATTCTAGCAAAAAGGGTGAAGTCTTCTTTCTACTGATTCTATCTTCAAATGATTTATTCGTTTTTTGAAGCCAGAGATGCATGATTGTTTTATATGATAGTTATATAAAGAAATACAATAGAAATACATTGATCGCTTTGGTTGTCATTTATGTTTTTGGAATAAGTTGAGAGAGAGAGAGTTTAACGTCCACTCGACACAAACCAGGTCATTTCGGGACTAACGTATGGTTTAATTTTATTTCAATAATTCGCTTCCGCGTAGGGATTTTTAGCAGTGGGAGGAAACCGGAGAACCCAAACAAAAATCACGAGGTTGGACAGGCGACCCTACTCCTTGTCACGTACAACCGGGGAATCGAAACCCCGCCAGTTGACCGTATGATACAGCGCGCGTGTGCTAACCATTCGGGGGCGGGGGGATGGCCTCGTGGGTTTTCGCCGGGTCCTCCGGTTTCCTCCCACTGCTAAAGACCCCTACGCGCAAGCGTATGATTGAAATAAAAAAAAATGAAGCATGTGTTAGTCTCGAAATGACCTAGTTTGTGTTGAGTGGACGTTAAACCCCATTTCTATCTCTCTCTCGCTAACCATTCGGCCATTCAACCCCCTAAAATATTGCTGAAATTCAGTAGACTTCTTTCTTTCACTAATTCAAAAATTGCATATAAATTTTCACAAAGATCGGATGATAACTTTTGGCGTTAGAAGGTTCACAAGGTTCACCAAAGTAAAACAAGGGCCATAACTCTAGACGTAATAAACGGAATTTGCTGAAATTCAATAGGATTCTTCTATGTACTAATATAAAAGACGCATATAAATTTCATACAGATCGACAGATAACTTTTGGTGTTTGTGCGTTCACAAGGTGCAACAAAGTGAAACAGAGAGAGAAAGAGAGAGAAATGGGGTTTAAAGTCCACTCGACACAAACTGGATCATTTCGGGACTAAACAAAGTGAAACAAGTGCCATAACTCTAGAAGTAATGAATGGACATTGCTTCACTAATTTAAATAATGCTTATAAATTTCACAAAGATCGGATGATAATTTTTGCCGTTAGACCGTTCACAAGGTTCAACAAAGTGAAACAGGGGCCATAACTCTAGATGTAATTAACGGAAATTGCTGAAATTCAGTAGGATTCTTCTTTTTACCAATTTAAATGGCGCATATACATTTCATACAGATTGGCAGATAACTTTTGATGTTAGGGCGTTCACAAGAACCAACAAAGTGAAACAAGGGACACAACTCTAGAAGTAATAAACGGAAAGTACTAAAATTAAATAGGATTCTTCATCTCACTAATCTAAACATCATATATCAATTTTAAAACAAACGGATGATAACTTTTGGCGTTAGAGCATTCACAAAACTTGTGGACGACGGACGGACGGGGGCGACGGCAATATACGTCCACATTTCCATACTGGTGTATAAAAAATGTAACTATACTGTACTGTAGTTGATGTCATATTTCTTACAATAACTCGTTTATCGTCTATCCATGTATGTATTTACTGAGTTTGTAACATTGAAGGAAATTTGATTTAAATAGGCAGGAAGCATGTTGAGTAGATTTGTGTACATGTATAAAGATAGTCCTGAATACAATAATGGGATGAGGGATCGAGCAGACATGTTTCTAAGTTGATAATGTAGCTTTAAAGAACTAAGTGTTTACTTACATGCTTATCATCTGTAACGAGAAAGAACATTTGAAATCGATATAATTCGTGGTATAAATACGTACATTCTAAACAAATAATGAAAAATTATTAACCAAATACTAATAGCTTTCATATAATTTAATTTGTAACAATCGATATGTTTTTTTTTTAAATCTATATTTTGCCTCGGAGCAATTGATTCGCTTGTATGGATTTAACTAAATTAGGTGTGTAATCATAAATTCGAAGGCTAAAAGAAACAAACCGGGATAGTATTGATCAGCATCCTTGATGTCCTATAACAAAAGAGCTCAGTTTGTAACTAAAAGCTACGTAATTCAAATTAAAAGTAATATAAGGTGACGTTTAACGAATTTCAAATATACTTACGTTTGTCTTCCTTGAGCAAGCCATGACTATGTGCCAATGCTGAGAATGAACTCTGTGAGAGAGCTAGAAGTCCTGATGCTGAAACTGGAGGTATTGGTGCCTGGAGACCGGCTGGGTGTGGGGTCATCGGAATGGGTGGAGCATGAGCGTGTGGTAGATGTTGAGCCTGCATTTGTTGCTGTAAAAGAAAACACAGTTGTTTGTTGTCAGCTTAACCATGTCAATTTAAACCAGAAACCCAGTTTGGGTATAATTAGGTAATCTTCACGTACAGACATACCTCCGACTTGTTACAAATAAACGCCATTATTGGATTTTGAATACTATAGTAATAGTATTGGCAACCCCAGAAAGATATCATTTGTACTCCAAGGTAACTTTTAATATGTCATGGGACAGGAATCGTTATGGAGTCCTAAAATGTATCATATTAATATTTTGCATGGTAAACACGCTAACGTCATTTATTAGACTAACCCCAAGAGCGTGATAGATACAATTAACAATTTAACATGTACGAATATGTTTCTAGTCTGATATTCAGGACATTATGTAACACTGGATATACGAACACATAGCCATTGCTGGCCCTGTGGGTATTTGTCAATAGTTTCAGAATCAAACTATTTGTGAGGGATGCAAGGGTTAGGGTTGGGGTTACAACGACGTAATTCCCCACAAATATGTTGAAGGCGGAACTATTAGCAAATTGCGGCCCTGTGCTAAAATTAAAGGGGGTGACGACAATTCTGATGTCTTATTTGTCAAAGGTTATTTTAATGCCCTTCTTAAGTTGTTATTAAGTCAGGTGATCATGTTAAAAAAACCCTAGTACTCGTGTTTTTAAAGAGGTGAGTGTCCATAAAAAATAATTTCGAGGAAAATTTACCCCTATAATGGCGTTTAATTCCTGCATGGTGACCTGTTTGGCTCGCTCTACTGCTGCTGCCACCTGCTGTTGATGCTGGTAATAGAAACGAATAACTTCATTATTTTTAACGTAATACCTTAGACAGAAAATGTACACAATTTAAATAAAAGTTTTCCAAGTTTTATACAAACAGATAACCTGGGTATTAGTTCTTCGCTACGTCACGCTAACCATGAATGAATCGAATGGAATTGTGGTTCTTATCTCGTCAACATATGGTAATTTCTATTGCTGTGGTTACGCGTGCAATGCGAGATGGAAGAATTTTGTCCAGGCAGCGATATTTCCTACTACTCTTTGTCGATTTCCAATTGTCAAGGGTTCTTTGACGCGCACTCCTTATGTTGACCTTGTGGCTTTTTGTTCCATCCTAACGACTAGGCACAACTTCCGTGTCAGACCAGCAGACACCATCTACTCTGTATGATATAATATCATATTATGCTCTATGATCTATATCCTGTATGATACCTATATATTATGCTCTTTGATACCACATATTTACTCTATATATTATGTGAACCACACTTTTATCTCGCCTTTCGTACATATACTCATTTAATATAATTAAGGTTATTCTGGATATGATTTGTATAATATACATATAAAAAGACGTGATCTATATATACTTTATTAATACACAATAATATCAAACACCTACTAATGGATGATATTCTACTAAAACACCTTGATGACCAGCCATACTATCAAGACATAATGATAATAGATTACACACAAACATGAAACCTACCTCTTGGGACAAAAATGGAATAACTTGAGCACATATCGCATTCAGCCTCTTGGCAATTTCAGTCTATAATAAGGAAGAGGAAAAATCGATAAAAACACACATTCTCGGTAACAATGGTCTTATTAATAAAGATTACATTTCATTGTATTAGATTATCTCTGGCGGGTCCAGTCAGTCAATATAATATGATGATAAATATTAAAAATAAATGTATCAAAATATAGAAAGTAGACAAATAGAGATCTATTTCAGCTTTTATCTTGGTTTATACAGACATGAAAACTGTCTACATCGGATCGTATTTTTTTAAAGGGGGCTTAATAAATTGTTTTTGAGCGAAAGTTAAATCGTCTGGGATATTGGCTTGATTTGTCTGTTTTTATGGAAATGAAATGAATTGGAGTTTTATGTGTCATCGCTCGATCTGTGTGATTTACGTAGAATATCCGGGAAGGTTTAAAAGGACCAGTCTTCCAATGATTGAACGATTCTCATCTATATGCACCATATCTCACACGCAGCTGAACAGCTTGGCAAAGAAAAAGAAGGAGTCATCGCGATCGTCCTGTGGGCGTATAAAAAGATACGGTACTAACCAAATATAAGCCCACCACCAACTAAATCGCTCGTTTGTCGATAAAAGTCATTATTTCCTCCGTTAGATTAAAAGTGAAATTATTCGATTCGTATATTAAATAAATGATCACTTCTGGAATATAGAGACACTACTGTATCAATATAAGTTTCAATGATAAATTATATATATAAATAATGTCTAGTAGATAATTGTGATCGTCTCTAATGGATCCACAGGGTTTTGTTTAGCTACCAAGAACCATAACTTTGTGTGTAATCTTCTGACATCCGATAGATATTTTTGTCCGACTAATGTAATGATTACAATTTTTGTAGATTTTATAGAACAGGAGAGGCAAAAATAAACCTATAATCCGATTATTCTTCTAAAGATAGGTTGCCAGGCAACGAAACATACGTCTGCAGCAGCTAAATCGTCCTAGCGGTCCATAAACGGTTGTCGCATATTTATTCTTTTGTTGGTAATTGGGGGCATTGGAAGTAATTTTCAGAAATTGTTGAAATTTGACAGGCTTTTTCGTTTTACTAATTTAAATAATGCATATAAATTCCATACAGATCGGATGATAACTTTTGTCACTGGAACGTTCACAAGATTCACAAAGTAAAACAAGGGCCATAACTCTATAAGTAATTGACGGAAATTGATGATATTCAATAGACCTCCGTTTCACAAATTTAAATGATGCATATAAATTTCATACATATCGGCTGATACTAGTCATCAATCGAGTCTTAACAAGGTTGAACATGGTGAAACAAGGTCCATAACTCTAAAAGTAATTATTGTAAACTGCTGAAATTCAATAGACTTCGTTTTTTCTCTAAACTAAATGATGCATATAAATTTCATACAGACCAGATGATAACTTGTGGCGTTAGAGCGTTCACAGGGTTCAAGAAATTGAAACAAGGGCCATAACTCTAGACGTAATAAACGTGCTCGCCAAGGTGTACACGGAATTTCGGTCTTTCGTCCCATTCGAAAGCCTAGACACTGTTTCTTTCCAGGCCTTCCGTCTTTCACCACTGACAAGGGGAAATCCTGGGGATCAGACTCCGGACCTCCTAGTAGTGAATCAACGCCTTACTCATTCAGACGTAGTGACTCAATTCAATTTGCGATATCTACTTCTTAAACCAAAGTCAGACTGTGTTACCATTCATCTATAGATAACCTCCTAATCGGTATCATTATCGGTGGTTTGAATACTCGCTTATATCGGATATTTCTATACTGTAATATTGACTATAATAGCGACCTTGACTTTTCTTACACATTGCCGAAGTGTCTTTGTAAGAACCAGTGTTCCGAAAAATATTTAATAATTTACAACTCATTTATTTATGATTTAAAAAAGAAAAAAAAAGAAGAAGACAATCAGTGTGAGACGCAGAGTGATGCCCTGTAACATCCTAATGAATGTAACAGAGATTGTCTTAAAGAAAGTCGATAGAGCTTATAGAGTTTCCCGTTTGATTCCTAATCATATCGATTTACAAGAACTGGACAAGATGATACCATACAATGTTATATTACCATCATACAATGTCATTTTACACTTATTAAATAATAGCAGATGAACACAGAACCAATGACAGTTGATTCCCTCAAGAAAACAACATTACAATTTATCAAAAATCAATTTTCATGTAAGGTACGGATAAAATCGAGTAATAATTTATCCGAACATCAAAATCCATAAATAACCTGCAAAGAATACGTTAATTACCGCTTTGAGATTTAAACGTGTCTACAGATTTTCTTATGGCTATATACTCTTAAAAGAAATATTGTTTTTTGTTTGCTTTTCAAGTATCCTCAGACGTATGTTTTAACTCCACTAACAGTACTGGTGCTTCAAAAAAATAATCAATGCTTCGATTGACAAAGCTAGTTCTTCAAACATCTAATTGAGCTACATTAATTTGCTGCGATGAGGCGACAGTGGAGTATATAATTTGATCAGTGGTTGAAGATGAGGTCTCTAACAGTGCATCTGCTTAAGTCAACTAAATATTCTCAACCAAACACCTCCGCTCAAAGACAATCCAATCCATTTGCACCTCATCTTTTTAGAAATCACCAATCAATGACAATAGTGATCCTCCCGAGACTATTAATTATACTTTCTAATCCCTTCAACCATTTTTCAAACAATCATCTTGAAGATAATTCTGGCCAGTAAATGTCCTCTGAGAATGCCTGCTAACGTAATTACTTTCCGACTGGCGTCCCTTGGTACATCTATAATACATTCCAAACACACTGTCATTCTGATCAGTTCCGTCTAGAAATTAGTTTTTTGAAGTCATGATGTATCTCTTGAATTAGAAGCACGTCTGTATCTATCACAAGTGCTTTCAGCCAGACGTATTCTTTCGTTTTTCCTAGACATCTTTTTGTCCTTTCGTGATAATGCCTCTGCCAAATCTATAAAAAATTTACGTGAGAGGTAGAGACCTCTTTCAAATGTCAATAATTACTCATGTGTTTTGTAGACTGTCTTATTACGTTCAACATTTTTATATTTTAATGCAAATCAAGTACTTGATCAGGAAAACCCCCCAGAAGGAGTCTCAAAAATTCTAGTTTAGTTTTGTTATTTAGGTTTTTATATGACTTCCTGCGTTCTTTGGTAATTGGAAATCTAAATCAAACCATTACCCAGTCGTGTCCACTCTTATTACTTTTCTTACAAATAAACATTAATTCTGTTTCTTAGCCTTATCATCCGCTAGATCATTAAAACACATAATAAATTAATTGGCTGGTATCTACCGATCACAAGGTGAATAGATGAGGTACATAGATAAAATATTAATTAAACAACACGTGGTGTGATTAACAGTCAAATAAATTAGGTCAACTTTATTATTTATAAATAAGATAATTTAAGGAGATAAAATAAAAGGTTCTTTTCACAGTTGGCACCGTATATACATGTAGATGTACTTGGTCTAAAGACAAAAACTTTCTAATGCTATAAAATAAAATCAATAGCTTGCTATGTAATGAAAAATGGTATCAACTATTCCTTATCCGTGACTACTCATGGTTTGGAGGTGATAGTTTGGCCAAAGCTTTCCTAATTAAAAGTTTTCGATCATGTAGCCCCGGCTTCTGAAATTCGGGTACACAGTACTTTCCATTATCTATACGTAGAGGCAGGTTTCGTGCACTGATTAGGGTATGCTAACTCTTTCCACTACATCACAAATCCTTAAAGTTGTTTTTGTGTGTGTTAACTGAATAAATTTGTTTTAAAATTGTGGATTGACAACAATAAACTTCCTGATAGGGGAGGGGGCGGGGGTGAATCGTTGACCACAGTAAAAATAAAACAATTATGGGTAATTGTACATAATTAAAACAGTCGTATGAATAAAATCTTTCATCTTAAGCATCCAAAATATTCAAAGCAAAAAAGTTTGTCCTTGCAGATGGATCGCATCGGAAACACATGTCTATTATGAGTAATAAATAAATGGAATAGTGTTTAATATCCAGGTTTGTGGTCAGAAAAGGTCTGGAAAACAGAGATACCATAAGAGAATAATTGTCAAGTGTGAAGGATTGTTCTGGAAGAGCAACTCGGGGGATGTTATAGCCGGATTTACCAGTCACTACCCAGGGGACCATCAGTCCGGCTAGCTTTCTGTGGAATTGTTATTATAATGGCAATCTCCCGAGACTAGAACGGCATGGTTTTATTACTTGAATACTGATTACATGAAACACACAACAACCAATGCGAAGAAATAACTTCCTCCAGAGAAATGAAAAGAAGACATTAGCGATGATAAACTACAAACAATTTTCATTAAAGATTGTAAATGACAGTGAGAAAAACATGAAAGTTTTTTTTTCTAAAAGACTTCCATCAGTCGCCTTGACGTATTATGACGTGCATGGGCTACGGCATGCATATTTACAAGAACGAAAACGAATAATAGAAATTCTATGAAGCCTTGTTTATTGCAAATTTAGATTAAATTTGATTTCTGGGAAAAAGTTCATTACATCTGTAGGTTTAAAGGCGTATTCATCAACCTGGAAGAAACACAAGGATTATAAAAAACAACAAGACCGAGACGTGTAAAAGAGAAGATAGATTGAACCTGACGTTAAATGTTCTAGAAAGAAAAAAAACCACATTCCCTGCCCTGTAAACAACACCCGCCAATCCTAAAAATTTAGCGATATAGTTTGGACTGGCGATTCAGAAGCCGAATCCGCATGTATATTTATATCAAGAGAGATTTTGGAAAATTGATTTTCGGATAGGAACTGGTTCATCTGGCTCTGGTGTGAAGATGTCTTAATGATCCAGCTCTACTTTGTTAAAAAAAATAGATTGGCAAAAACGGAATTTACTTATAATTTTCTAGTTCTTCAAAAATACCAAAAGCTTGTTTCTTTAACAGGGACCCATTTCCAGATGCTATGATGATGGTGGACCTTTTACATCCAAGATTTTACTTGTAATGTTCTAGTTCTTCAAACATCCCCCATAGCTTTTTTCTTTCTTGGGAATACATGTCCAGATACTATGGTGATGGTGCAACCATTACATCCCAAGATAGGAATAACAATACACAAATCATTCTAGATTGATATGAAGAAATTAGCTGAAGATAAATATACTCAGCTGTTTGCTAAATCACAAGTGATTCTTCATTTATTTTATCGGCTGAGTATTGTCTGATATAACTCTAGTCAATCTGAACACAGCCTATTTGCACGAACGATTTGCATGTCCATCCCAAACAAGTATTATACATTTCTTTCTCTTTGACACATGACTGACAGTTGTAATTAAACTTGCCCAGCCTAAAGCCTATATGCATGTCATTGATTTATTACGACCGGTTCTATGGAGCAAAGCTCATCATTGGCTTTGAAGCATGTTTTCCCTGATTCAGTACCACTTGTCATATTAACTCAATAGTCGCAGTCAGTAATATCTTTAGGTGGAAACTTTTCGGATTCTTAAATAGAAAACGAAATAGATGCATTAACAATAAAAATTTATGAAACAAATATGGTAGACTTTATTTAACAAGGCTTAACCATACTGACGTAAATTGTAATAACAAAACTTCAAAGAGCTGTGCAAACTCCATAATGCTTACACAAAGAGCTATCCTCCAATAGACAGCCTATTGATCCTATATGAAAACAGCTTAAACACCAAATAGATGTAGGTTTAATATTTCAAGCTTGTATTATTTATATTGGCGAATGAGCACACATGTCGACACGTTTTCTTCATAGATTGTTAGCATTACAAAATCTATGTGAATATAAAAGCAAATACTCGAGTTGAATAGGACACAAATCACACAAAATACGAATAATGAGCTGCTAGCTAATGGCTAAAGAAGGAAATGTTTGTTCTGTTCGGTCAATATTTACAAAGCATATAATTTCGATGTAAAATGGCTCTTAGATCCAGGCAGTGTTTTCGTTTAGTTCCGAGTATTTGCTTCTTTGTGTTGGCTATTGACATTCTCAGTCTTCAGCAACGTGCCGACAACGCTTTGTGCTTCCAACTTTGTTATCTATTTCAACTTAATTTCATGTGCATCATTTGCGAAGTCCTACAGAAACAGGACGGTGGCGGGCGTGTATTTAACGCGGCTTTGGCGATGGTGTAGTTGTCGGTGTGCAAATATTTGACGGGTAAGCAGAAACCGCGCGAATTAACCCCGGCTTTGAGCTTTCATCAATGTTATTATTATAACAGATCAGATAAAAGACAGTAGTTCTTCTGTTTATTTTTACACAATCCTATTTTAATTCTCAATTTAACAACACGGCTACACAAAATCAATGAATTTGTTAGGCTGTACAATATCTGTTGGCATTTTAAAACAGTATTGACTGATATGTACAGCTGTATGAATTGTTAATTGTTGTTGTCTATTGTCTACTATCTGAGGCAATCAATAACAATTTCATGGCTGATATGAATAATTTATTTTAAAAAGTTGTGAACGTCATTTTTTCCAGCTTCGCTTGAAGATTAAAAAAATAATCTAATTTCTTGGGTGTAAAAAACGAGAACAATAAGTAAGTAAAAATAAAATATGTGAACAAAAGTCACTTCAATGTGTTCTTCATTAAAAGATTACCAAAGTCGTCACTTCATTGTGTTCTTCATTAAAAGATTACCAAAGTCGTCACTTCATTGTGTTCTTCATTAATAGATTACCAAAGTCCTCAAAATATTTAGATTCCATGTGCTTAGCACTTCTAGTAGGATATTGGATCCAGGTGCTTCTATAAAGAATCTCGTAAAAAGCATGTAAAACAGAAAATGACGAGCTCCTCTATCGAATTCTGCTTTGGTACCCTCGGTTACATATTGATTTATTTTGGAGATCAGGATCTGGGCCCCAAGCGGTACCCATCTTGTTGTTCTTGGGGGCGTCGCTCTTCGAAAAAGACAAGAAACTTGGCATAATTGTACCTTTGACAATTAATAATTGTGCATCGATTGGTGGATTTCGATTTTTGATATGGCGTCGCAATTCCAAGATGGCAGCGATGACGTCACACTTAGTTCCCGTCCATGATACGCCCGTTTCTTGTTTCCATATACTATTCCCCAAAATCAATATCTCTTTTCCTTAAATTCCTGTCCTAGGGAGGGAATCGTTTTTGTCACATACTACCAAATATCTAAAAACGTGCAGGTGGTGTAAATCATATTATTTATCTTCATATGATTACTTATTCATCAAATTTATTAACCAGATGTATCCAATCGCAGATTTTTATACTTATAATTAATGCTGCAGTATGTTGTTCGATATAGGTAATTAAATTAGTGTTTAAAGACAGGATGTAAGCTTGTTAGAAGAAAGAAGTTCACAATGAACCTATACACGGACCATTTATTGATCGAGTTTAAGCATAATTATAGTTCCAATTGGACCCTTGGCCACTGCTTGTGATCGGTAATACTACGTGTCTATACCGCGCATCCATGAATTAAAGATGATACATCGACAATCGGAAAACAATAAAGGCTTCTTAATTCATTACAAGTAATCATTATGTGACAACGAACTCCCAGCCATTGTGATATTAGATTAGATCAAAGTAACTGATTCGACGGTTCAGGAGAGAAATCTCGGAAAATAATTACTCTGAATGGCAGAGTAACGTTTTCATTCAAGTGAACCATGAATGTTTGTTGCTAAACAGTATAGAATGCACCAATTAAAAGAATGGATGATGCTTTTGTACCAATTAAAAGAATGGATGGATGATGCTTTTGTACCAATTAAAAGAATGGATGATACTTTTGTACCAATTAAAAGTATGGACGGGGTTTTATCATACTTAATAATATTTAACGCGGCTCAGCCTGTCGCATCATATAATATATTTTTAAAGTCAAATGTCTTATTCACAAAAAAAACCTTCTTGCAAAAGCTATAATTCATAAAACTAAAATAACCGAAGAATAAAACTCTCGCTCAAAGTAGAGGGTGGAGAGGGGGGGGGGGGGGTAATAGCTTAACCTGTCGCATCATATAATATATTTTTAAAATCAAATTTCTTATTCACAAAAATACTTCTTGAAAAAGCTAGAATTCATAAAACTCAAATAATCGAAGAATAAAACTCTCGCCCAAAAAACAAGTAGAATGGGGAGGGGGGCTGTTCGTAATAGTTAAAATCACCAGCAAAAGACCAAAAAATATAAAAATTTTAGGACTTACCTGTTTATGCATCTCCACATTTAAACCATAAGACATTTCATAATACTGTAAATAAATTTAAAAAAAAAACTATTGGTGTTAAACGACTGATGATAGTTATAGCCCCTTAACTGAAGATGTACAAAATGACTTGAGCTGATATTTGTTATTTCATGTTATGTCTGTATAGTTTGTCTTGAACGCAGGTTTGTGCAGAAGGGCCGCACTTACTATTATAGGTTATAGTTTTATATTTTCTAAAATATATGTGGTTAACAATTTCTACAAAGAAAAAAATTAACCAGAAGTGTTGGAAACTTGACACCTCAATGAATTTTGGATTTATGATAAATTTCACTTTTATGGTTCACATACATAGTGGAAGTGGGTGTCGGGTCGGGGTAAAGTATGCTTACTCTCTCTAAAACGCAACCACGACCAATAATTATTTTCACGGTTACAGGTATGGCGGTTGGCCTGGCAAGGAACCGGGATCCCAAGTACACATTGACATTCATTCAATTGCTGCCTAGGGAAAATTGCAGCCCTAGCGCATGACATATGTTCGTCTTCATTAACCCTGTTGGAGCAAAACAATAGGACGTTAAACCATATTTCATTCATACGGTTACAAGCATACACATCATTCTATAATACCGTTATTACATGATCTGGTTGATTAGTGGTTTTATGATTCTGATATGACTATTACGTGGCTTTTTTTCTCGAGTAATAAGATTATTGTTAATACTGGTGATTATTAACAAGCGTGTAATTAGACGAAGATCGATTCGTCATATTAATTATAAAATGTTCACGTAATTATGAACCGCCTTTTTCACGGTTTGCTTCATTAATTAAGAATCTTGTAATATTCAGATATCCCCATTAATCTTAATCCATCTAATTGTCGACATTGCTATGAAAATTATGAAGAATAATATAGCTAAGTAATGAAGAAAGGGTTTCTTTGCCATTGTCTTGTCTTAGAATATCTCTTATCTGAGTATATCAATAGTTTTATCTTTGTTTTTCTATCAATCACAGCAGGAGGATGACAAGTCTCAACACAATAGATAGCCCAATCAACATTCGCAACATGCAAGCTTTCATGTCGGAGGCAAATTAATCCCTCCCAAAAGCCAATATGTGCAGTTAGATATAATTATTCAGTCCCAAGATTGGGTTGAGCAGCGAAGGAGAAAAGATAAAAGCTTGGTAGAAAAATCAATAAGAGGTAGCCGAGTTTAATACACGCCAGTCGACGGTGCAATGTAATCAGAAAATTAAAGCTGTGCTATGGTTATTCCTTCCTAGTCGAGTCTCTTCGCAAACGACTAAAGATTAGAGCAGCTTGGTATAAAGAACATCAGAGCACCACTTAGATAAAGATAAGGGCCTCTCATGATGGAAATTATCTCGTCTTTTGCGTGAATACACACGGTCTTGTATCTAAATTATGCATTTATTGCCTGCCTGCTATTTTCAGTGAGGCTTCATCGGACACCAGAGAAGTAGTCCAAAAACAATTGAAGAGCAGGTGTACACGACGAGTACAAAACAAAAAAAAATCTTTAAAAAATCTGTTATTCTACTTCACAATGGCGGACTAATTCTAATACAAAAAAGCATGACTAATGTCTTGAGAAATATCTCGGGGACAAATATAATACACGAATTCTATTTTAAATAATCAAGATCCAAGATCACCCCTTAAGATTTGCATTAAAGATGTGGAAAACAGTGTGTTTGGGTCCAGTTAAGGACAATTTTATGATATATTTATAATGGGAAGCAGCTGTTTAAATGAATAAATCTCTTTTTGATATAGATACGAATTCTTATCTTAGCAACTGTACACAGCTAAAAAATCAATATACGTACCATAACATAATGACGCTGCATTTCAGTTTTCTCTTGAGCCAGCTTCTCACAATCCATCTTTAAACTGCAAGGAAAAGGGAATTTTTAAAATATCTATACAGATGTATATCGTCATAATGTAAGCGTATAAATATTCCCCAAAAAAGCAAAAAGCACCGTGTGTATATACCAAAAGGTTGCCTACTGCTAAAGATCGCATAGTTATATTAATTAAATTTAGTGGCAATCTGATTTAAATACTATCTATATTTCGTTTCGTTTTTTTTTATACTTTCGATGGCCTACACTACATGAAGATCTGACAAGTTATAGCGAAAGGTCACGTCAGGGGTCAAAAGACTGACTTATGACCCTATGATGTCAGACATTTGATTAACCAATCAGCATTGGTGTTACTAGTGGATTACCCACAGTTCCGTGCAAAACACGCCTAAAGCTCGCCGTGACAGACCGTTTCATTGGCTTATCCCTGACACCATTCAGAACACTAGTTAAATAACAACTCTTCCAGATCCAAGTGTAGTAAAGACAAGTAAAACGAAATTTTGAACTATAAAAACGAAACGAAATAGGATCTGTGTTTTAACCAGATTGATTTAGTGGTTGACCTGAAGTGAAATTCATAAAAACTATATGATTCCAATAAGAATACCTCGACTTGTAAGCCAGAAAGAGTTATCTCCCCTACTTACTTGTGATACTGTGCCTGTAGAAAACTGAATTCTTCTTTGATGCGATCACATGATTCAGATACAGTGAATTTTATTGGCTGGCCTGGTGTATTCTGCAAAACAACAGAAACAGAGCTAATTATCAAAAGAATTAAAAATAGTGTTTGGGAGTTGTCTGCCAATTCACAAAAATAAAGGGGGCGTTGAATTAGAGTGAATGGCCGATATCTCTATTTTCCAGACACTATGTATGTACACTCAAAAGATGAACATTAATGAAGCTTTTATTTTATGGCTTAATATTCAAAAGAATAAAATATATGTGTGTAATGGAATATGAATACCAGATTAATGTCTGGCCTATTGTTTTCAGTTGACTATTTACGCAAATGATGCGCCCCATTATTACCACTCGAAATGTAATCACTTGAAACAAGTATGCAACAAATAATGTTATATATCGATTATTCGTCTCATAATGTTGTTTTTAATGTAAATGTTGTAATAATTGTTGATAGATAACTTTTAGAGAACATAGTTTTTGGGGTCGTTATGATGTTCAGCTAAATATAATCACAGAGTTATCAGGAAACTTTTTTTTTTAAAAAGTCGATAACAGACATTCAGATATCTGTAAATTATTAAACCAAAATTATTCATGAATGTAGAATTTCAGAAAGCTTATCGATAGAGAGCAGGAGACACATTCTTGGCCATTATTTTCTCATTAAGGTGAGGTATTGGTAGATTGAGTGACAATACTGGAAACAGATGTTAAGCACTTATTTCTCTACATGCTTGGTCAAGTGTTTCAACCCGTTTGGAATTGACTTTTATTTATGCCTATTATAGCGACAAAAAAAAAACCAAAAAAAAAAAACCAAAAGAAACGACCCACATTTACATTGTACATCAAAGTGAACATATTAAATGTGCTTGAGGTGCTATAATAAGAGTAAAGATAGGTTGCCAGGCATATTTTTACTTTTTTCGGTAATGAAACATTTATAATACATTAAAATCATATTAAGAGTAACAACTCATTAAGTAATTATCAAAAAACCATTAGAATTTATTTGGTTTTTATAAAGTTCTGCCCCATGGATTTTAACATCATGGATTTGGCTGTTCAAGTCATAAAAATTAATTGAAAATCAATATACTTGTTCGTCTCAAGATCTTAAACTCTGTGTATCAATCTGAAGTCAATCGGATGATAACTTTAGCCTCTAGAGCGCCACAAGGACAGCTTTCGAGTCGTTCGGATGGGACGAAAAACCGAGGTCCCGTGTACACATTGACGTGCACGTAAAAGGCCCCTTGAAAGTTGGAATTCGATATAAGAGTAGGCCGTAGTGCCGCTGTCCGTGCAAAATTTTCCTCATAGCACACAGTATCGCGTATGTCCGTCTTCATTAGCCCAGTTCCCTGCAGAAGTGTAGGGCGTTAAACCCCATTTCATTTCATTTTATCGGAGTTATTTGTATGCTGACGTTTCTTTTGTAGTTCAGTTTAGCAGTTTAAGAGTTCAGTTATAAAAATTAGTTAAATTAACATTCTTTGTATAGTAGTTAAGTTAATAGTCCGAGTATATTTGTTAACAAATTCAATATAAAACATCTGGTCACCAAAGCCGAGTCTTAATACCACTCCACACTAATCAATACGCACAATATCTAGTTATTTCTATATGGTTTATTAATTGTATTTTATTAACCTTAAATTTGAATAATATGGACGAAAATAGCTTTTACCGTTAATATAAAATCATTTGTGATTTTCAGTTTATTTTAAAAAGGTAACTATCCAACATAAGGATTAATACAATAAGTTCTTTTCATTCGAAATTCCTAGGGGTAAATTTGGTTTCTATTTGTCAGTGATGCAGGGCGGGGGTTTGGGAAGGAACAGTATTTAGTCGTTCGGATGATACAGAAAATCGAAGGCCCATGTACAGGTTGGCGTGCACGTAAGAAACACTTGCAGTTATATTTCGAAATAATCTCTGACCCACTCCTCTTGCAGTGCCACGGCCAATTCTTGCAGTGTTGTCGGTTGACGTTGACGTCGACGAACACGTCTCCCGATCAAATTAAACGTAACACACTAAAGCAAAGATACGCTAAACAGTAAATCTTATGCAAGAACCGATAGGAAAGTAAACATTGACAGGATAAACCAGCAAGCGGCAGTTTTCATCAACCCTTCCTTGAAGTGTCAAATTTGACAATAAACCCCTCCCACGTGTATGGCGCTATTGCGTGTCGCATGTGCAGCTCAGTGGTTCTGTTGGGACGATAAGTTCTTCATCTGTGAACATACTCTCAAAGCATGTCAAGTGTCCATGACTATTTATCATATCACAACCTGCATAGGTATTTGCATTTCAATATCCCCTACTTTTTTTGAAGGGTATATATGTCCGGCGTTTCAGAAAAATAAAAAAAATGTGCTGCCTAGGGTATGGAAGTTGTCCTGTAGTAGGGAGACGCGGAGGCTCGGTGGGTATGGCGCTAGACCCCGGTTCCTCGTTATTTTCCAGTCTGATTTCTTCTTGTCAGTGGTGCAGGACAAAGTGCCTTGCAAGGAAAAGCGTCTAGTCGTTTAAACGGGATGAAACCCGACAATTTCGTCTATACCATTTGTGTTCAAATTCGCTCCGACCGTGGAAACTTCGTGCAACTTTCGAGCCTTGAGAAAAAGCAACAATTGGTTTCCAGTACATGTAAGTTAGGTTATAGAGAGATACACGATGAGTATTATATTCGAGTACCGGAGCTTAAATTGTTAGAATTTCTAAATTAATGTGCATATTCAACAACTATTATGATTAATGGCTGATAAATGGCGACACACTATTCTGACTTGCATAGACCTATTGAGGTTTTAATTTTTGGCATAATATTAGCCCTTTCAATCGATATATTTGTATTGATTTCAATCTATTTCATTAGTATTAAATTGTTTTATTTCATTGCTCTGTTTACATTATTATTTCGACGTTCTACATTTATATCATCTATTCTCATTTATTCAAGATTACTTTTCTACATACTAGATGATGGTGCTCATACTTTATTGATTAGTTATCGATAAAACCAATTCATCAATATAAATAATTCAAATCGATCAATTTAGTTGATATTGATATATGCACAATGGAATACATGCACGTGGGTATATACAATATCATTTGCATGCATGTTTCTAAATGGGACAGACATCCTGTTCTGACCTCGATTCCAGCTATACAATATCCCTATAGTATTTATTATTGTGTATCAGATCGAACTATTCGATGACAGCCATCACTTGATTCATAATTATATCAAAGCATTGGAAAACCAGTATGCATATTACATCATAATTCAATATTAATCTATATTAAAGGGGACAGAACTGTTTATTGCAATAAGATAACCGCCGATTATATCTTTAAAATACAATATTTAACCGGCAACACATATTAATAATATTTTATATTCCTTAATGCTCCTAAAATACACAATAAATTCAAAGAAAATAATAATTGTGCTTAATATTGATCATACAATCCTATTATGTGTCAGTGTTTTGTTAAAACAGTCAATATCACGCAAATACAATGTCTAATTTCTTTAATTCGTCAATATCACATTAAAAGTATTTATATCTTTAATTATATTTTGACAGCCCTCATTAAAATAATTATTATTAACATATCTAAATGATTACATTAAACATTAAAGAAATGGCTATGATTTAAATTTTGGAGAAAAATAATGTCAGATAGTCTGCCTCGAGCGTTATTAACTGAATGTATGATCTGTAATTTTGCATAATGCATGTTTAATTGGACGAATCGCAATGTTAAAATATGAATAATAAGAAAAATTAAGAAGTAGGGCTCAATAAAAGGGATGTTGGTGTGTAGAGGTGCCAATCATAAGCCTCGACATAGTTTACACGCAGAGCAGATCAACGCATTATTCTATAAATATTTAATAACAGTCCTTGGACGTCTTGAAAGTAGCGAATTAACAGATTGTTTTGCCGAGGAGGGTATGTCTGATACATGTTACTAAGTGTTTGATTTCAACAAGTTTTATGATTTATGAGCCATAAAAAGCCCTCTCATTTACTTCGCGGGTGTTATAGAAACAAAGAATTCATATTTACTATAGAAGTCCCGTGTATTATTGTTTATCGATTACTATACCAGCGGTTGCCAGACAAGATACGCCCACATTTTGCAAGAGATGGGTAGAGAACAAGCTAAAAACAAAAGGATTTTTCGTACACTCAGGGGCCATAATCCAGAAAGTTATGCTCTGAAATGCGCAAATATCGCAAGGGTCCATAAGCTTGGTATTACATAGTTTTACACTATTTGTGTACAAAAAGCTGCCATTTTGTCCGGCAGTTTCGGTCCGAATTTCACGAAATTCAAACTCAACTGATATCGTGGTGTAACGCTGATATATTGTAACGTTTTCTCAACTCGGATAACAATATCAGATGATAAATATTGTAACGTTTTCTTAAATCGGATAACAATTGTGACCGCAGTGGGACTACAAGCTAAACTTGCGATTTTTTGTAGAGTCAGGGGCCATAATTCAGTAAGTTTCAATCCGATATGCACGAATATCTAAAGGAACCAAGAGCTTTGGGTTATGAACATGCGTTTCATTAAAATCAGATGAAAACTGTGACCTCTAGAGGGTCCACAATATTTTTACAGTAATTTGCGTACGAGGGGTGGCCATTTTGTCCAACAGTTCTGGTCCGATTTTAACGAAATTTGAACCCAACCTACATTATGGTGATATAATAAAACGGTTTCTAAAATCGGATTAAAATTGTGACCTCTAGAGAGTCCACAAGTTAAAATGTTTACGATATTCGAACTCAACCATCATTATGGCGTAACGTTGATATAATTAAACGGTTTCTAAAATCGGATAAAAATTGTGACCTCTAGAGGGATCCCAAGCTAAAAACGAGATTTTTCGTACAATCAACGGCCATAATTCAGATGAAAATTGTTACCCCTAGAGTGACCACAAGCTAAAACCGTGAAATTTCGAACAATAAAGTTATGGTCCGATACATGTCAATAACGACCTGTAGG